TTGAGTATCGTAAAAAAATTTATTTTTTATCAGGACAACGATCCCAAACGTACGTCAGGCGTAGCAAAGCTTTGGTTGATCCATAACTGCCCCAAACTCATATACACACCTACACAGAGCCCAGACCTTAATGTAATTAAGCATCTTTGGGAGGAATTAGTTAGGACAGAGTACCAAAAAAATTTAACACAATAGTACAGCTAAAGGAGGCTTTACTCGAAGCATGGTACTCAATTGAGCCAGAAGTGTGCCAAAAATTGGTAAAATCAGTTCCAAAATATTAAATGCCACATTTCTGCATTTTTTACATGGATGCTTAATTTTGTCCGATTATACGTTGAGCCCAAAAAATTGTGTTGGTTCCGTTTTTTACTTTACATTAATAGTTACTATGAGAAATGTTTTATTTTTTTTTATAATTTAGATAGATAAGTATGTTAAGTATTAATTAAAGCAAACAAAAATCATATTTTTAGCATTTTTCTTAAAGTTTAGAGCACATTTATATCGAATAAAAGCTTGTCCGATTATGCGATGGAGTCACTGTAGGTATACAGAAGTAAATTTTTTTAATAATAGTTGGATAGTTACTACAACTAAATCGTTTCCATTTCATGTAATTTTGGGTCCATTAATTTTTAGTTTACGAATTTGACTTATTATGGGATTCGTAACACCATCTTGGAAAAAATAATGATTACCGTTTTGGACATTATTGAATATAACTCAAAAAATACAAAAAAGTCTATAATGTTTTTTAATTAATTTGAAATGATTATAATAATTATTTCTGCATTTCCTGCTCATAAACTACAGTTAACTGCAACTTTATAGTAGATGTAAAGATTTATGCTGAATTAGACTTGGATTTGCAGTGGCATATAATCTGCAACTTCAGTTATTAAAGACTTCATTTGACGTACAATGAATTTCAACATTAAAAATAATTTTAACTGTGAACAAGTCTTTTATGTATTTAGGTATATGTGGTTTCGCTGAGACATTGATTGTGTTTATATATAATAGTTATTTTAAAGATATTGTTTCTTTCGTGCTATTCATGTCTTGTGAAATATAAAGTACATATTATATTAAATATATTAAAATTGCAATTTTCAAAATTATAAAATTTCAAAAGCATATTTAATATCTACTCTCAGAACTCTCCAGAGTTGAAACAGAACCCAACAATATATCAAATCTAAAGACTAGATCATTTTATTACTGTTTCTTTTTGGTAATACGACTTAGAACATTTGATATGTCAAAATATCTTAAATATCTTAAAAATATCCCATCACAATTTCTATAGGCATGTAAATTAACGTTGTACTCGACCACAACGTTGTATCGTTGTATCGCGTTGCACCATAAACTTGGAAAGAATCTTTCTCAGCTGTTTAATATCAAACGATATCCGACAGAGTTACTCCTAATATGATTTCTATAACTTCATATTGCAAACAATAATTCCAACGATTGAATTGTGCTAGCAAAATTTATTATAAATGATAATGTGGATGATATTGTTCTTTTTTATAAATACATTGAATTTATTTATTGAATCTTCTCTCTAAAAAATTTCCTCCCGCTATTTCTTCTTCTCTTTTTTTCTATCTCTCTCCAAGATTCTTGTCTTTATTTGATGAACATTCTTTATTTGAAATGCTTCCCTGAAAATGATCCATTTTTGAATCATGTATTTAAATCGTAAGACTAATTAAATATATAATCAAATGTTATGCTAGATATGGACAATTAGAAGTTATAGTCCATATTATAAGAAAAGGTCTTTGAATCATAATAAATTTCATACCGAAAAAAGAGTACAAACCGATTTTTAAATCTATTTTGTTAATGCATCACTGTCCTTCTTTACTGAAATTCACTATTACTATAGGTAATTCTTATTTCATGCAGCTCTACTTACTTATAATTGGGATATGAAATCTAAATATGGGATATGTTAACTAAATATGTGGTTTAGGAATTTTTGAAATGATTTTGCTAGAAGAATGGGAAGCAGTATAAGAGAAAACACGTAAAAACTGTTCCAACAATAGTAAATAAAATTTATCATCAAATATTTCAGTTTATTTATTTTTTTAATTTTATTCACAGCATTAATGCATTCACAGATTATTAAAAATTACCGATTTGGAAACGTTGATGTGATGAAGAACTGATCAACGTTACTAATAAAGCCACGTTGGTATACTGAGAACTAATCACTGATACCGCCTAGATTAAAATACCTTGTGAAGCTGCGTTAATGAGATGATGTGGTCGATCGCGATTAATGTTGATTAAAAACTACAATATGATTAGTCTTTTGTTAGTGCATCTGGACACTTTTACTCTATGATGGCTTGGGGACTTCTGCAGAGTTCCACCCATTTCACTGACTAATTTGAGTATTTCTCATAATCTTTGTTATTATTCAATGATTAATCTAAGATCTGCGTACCGCTCTGTGTGGTTTGTGATTACTCTGAGATTAGATAGTGCTTAGGGCAGCCTGTTCGTTTTCGCATATAGCTTCAGAGCTCTGTCCCTTATGTATTTTTTGACCGGATCAATAACATATGATTAGTAAATATGATTTGTAAATATGATCAGTAAACTTAAATTTATTTGAAAAATTTTATTTTAAGACAAATTATCAAATTGTGACAATTTATTAATGAAATTTTTTCAAATCAATATCAAATTTTTATGAAATTTCTCGTTTTAATGTATCATATTGTATTTGTGATTGTCTTTGGTGCATTTACTATTACAATTTTTAGAAGGATCCAAATACGTGATAAAGTTTAAATGTCATACAGTTAGAGACCTTGTGATTAAACCTGTTCAGTGACAATGTTACCATATATACAATAACGTGATATTACAATAGTATGTTTATTGATCTTGATCCATTATTAACCCTTTTTATGACAACTTAGGAAAACTGAATCATCGACAAAAGTAAAAAAAAACTTTTTATAATTTCTCATTGTTAACCTTGAAATTCACTCACTAACCTTGAAATAGAAATTACCGAGAACAAATAAATACTTTTTGTCGACAAACGATCTTCTGATTACCTTGACATTTTAGTTACTATAGACAACTAGAAAATCGAAGTTTTAAAAAAGATTGTTTATATATCAATTAATTTGACATCAACCTAGAGATTCAATTAATACCCACTTTATACAATAGATTTTTGTACCTCATTTTACAAAAATCACGATCTACTAGTGTCTTATTATGCATATCCTACTGTATGATATAAAAGTTTATATTAAGACTAACTGCGGTGAAGCTTCTCAAAATATTCAAGGGGGAAAAGTTTCATTAGACCAATAGTTATGAATTCAGAGATAATGTAATTATTGTTCCTATAACTATAATGAAATAAAATACAATTTTAGATGATTTAATGAAATGGGGTATGAACTCATTAGGTTTATTAGTTTATCTTTTGAAACTTTTAGCAATAGTTTAATTCTATTAAATAATTTGTATTATGCATATTATAAAACCACATAATTTACTCTATCAAAGTATTCTCTTAATCAGGTAATTCATTTGAGAAAAATTATTGAAATTTTACAATGAGTTTGTTATTAAAAATTTTTGTAAATTTAATAAAAAATACGAGCAGAATAAACTTTATGTTAGCGGTGCTATATATCCCCATAATAATCAATTGATAGAATAGAATAATGAGTAGTATAGGTTGTACGCTTCGTTAAATGTAAAGAACTAGAAGAGAAGTCAAGTTTCATATACCCATACATAGTTAAGTTTTCAAAGTTCTTTATTTTCTTTAGTTTAGTTATATACTATGATAGTTTAGGTAGAATGATATCTGATTTAGTAGCGAGTACTTAAAAACGTTGTAGGGAAGATATTCATCTTCAATCAAATAGTCAAATGATAAATGTTGTGATACTACTCAGTACTTGCAAGTGACTACAAGCCACTAATCGAAGGGATTAGTGCTAATGGAGGTTATTGTATGCAACTAAAGTTTGACAGACGTCTTTTATTAGAGTAGTAGAAAATTTAATATCCTAAAAAATATTTGTTTTAAGGAAGGAATTGCCATTAGTATATATAAAATAATATAACCTTTAAATTAATTATGATGTGATAAAGCACACAAAGTACCAGTAATAAAAGTACCAATAATAAATTAAATATTTAAAATAACTTATAAATTATATCGATATAATATGTGGATATGTAGTAGTTGTACATATTTGAATAAATATTTGTAATTACATTTAAATATTTGTAAATTGACTTTTCAGGGTACATTACTCTAATCACCTACATTAAAATTTTAATGCCCCGCGAACGTATTTACCACGTGTCCATTGAGCTCGTTTATCTGCCAAACGGTATTAAATGGTCAAAAAAGCAATAAACTATATAATTAATGCCAAAATTAATTAAACAAATATCGCAAAACAAAAACAAAACAAGTGGAAAAAAGCGAAACAAAGTGGCTAAACGATTTGAACTAAATTAAGAGCACAAAGCAAATAACGAATTTCGCATACAAATTAACTTTTTTGCTTCAATTTAATTTGCAGTACTTAACTTCCGTTAACAGCCAATGTTGCCAATGCAGGAAAAAAAATTTATATTGATTTACAAAAAAAAAAAATTGTTTTAATTTGAAAAAGCAAATTGTTTTTAAATAAAATTATTTATTAAATTTGCACCTCACGTTTAGGCACATTTGGAAACAATAAAAATCGAAATTGGCTTTTTGCAGTTAATTTAACTGAAGCAAATAAATATTAGTATATATATATGCATATAATAAAGTTATGTATTATATACCTATGTATTTTTACTTTAATCAAGCTTTAGCTATATTACAAAAATAGTTTTACAATTTTAACTATAAAAGGTTTCATCAAGGCATAATCAAAACATAAAGCATTCACAACTCCACTTTTCAACTTCTCACAAAACTAAAGCACTTTTTTTTTACTAAAATGTATAAATTCGTAAGTACAAATACCTCGACTAAAAATTTTAAAAATTAAATAAACAAATTTTCTTTCTTTAGACAATTATTGCTCTTGCTGCTCTCTTCGCTTGTGCTTCTGGAGCACCTGGTCTATTGCCATCAGCACCGCTAGCCTATGCAAATGCACCTTTGTATGCGGCTGGCGGTAGTAATCAAATCGATGTACGCAACAACTATGATGGTACCTTGTCATCATACACCACTGCACCATTCAGTTACACCGCTCCATATTCTAGTCGTTATGTATCCGGCTTACCTGCAGTAGCTCCTGCTGCTTACACAGCGCCTTTAGCTGCTGCCCCTGCCGCTTACACAGCTCCATTCGCTGCTGCTCCAGCTGCTTATGCTGCACCAGCTTTTGCTAAGTATGCTGCACCAGCTGCACTCTCAGCACCACTAGCTGCATCATTTGCAGCTCCATATGCATCACCTTTTGCATCACCATTTGCATCGCCTTTCGCTGCTTCATATGCCTCACCATTTGCTGCAGCTGCACCTTTGGCTGCACCACTGGCTGCTGCTGCTCCAGCTGCTGTTGTTTAAGTCGATTATTATAGACCTTGTGATTTTTGCGATAGTATCTATAAATTAAAATATTATTTAATAAAATTACTAATTTAATAATTAATTGAGATTTTTTTAATAGAGATTTTCGATTTTTATTTTAGCAACTTAACTCTAGTTTTATTAAAATGCACCTTCAAACTTTCCTTGGAGTTTCATTGCGACGAATTTAAGGAATATTGTTACGATTCTAATGTAAATGGTCTTTCTTGAGCTTGACAGTATTGTTTATTTTTGGGACTTAAATTTCTCTTTCAAACAAATTTCTTTTGCATCGTTCCCAGTTTTCTCAATTCTTGAACTTGACGTTGACGTTCTGGAAGTTTTATCTTGAATCTTAGTGCTTAAAATGCCTTTAAGTTAAACAGATATTCTTATGTACTATATAGCACATACTATATTCTACTGTTTTGGATTTGTTTTGGAATTAAATAATAGTCTTTATTTATTTGTCTTGAAATAATAGTTAACGCACATGTTTTAATATGGTTAAGCCAACATATGGTTGACTAGATGAATATATATTATATATGTTGGAATATATGTCAATATCAAGTGCTTTTTAATCTTGCCTATCGCAACCAGAAATCTTATTTTTAGGCAGATGATGCGGGACTTTCTATTGACCATAACGTTCTAAAGGACAGTATCTTTGAAAAATTGTAGGTCAATGATTTCAAAATCTCATAGAACACATCAATATGAATATAGGATGCCTTTTGAAGAAGTTAAACTTACTAAATATTAGTCAAGTGTAAATTGTCAAAATAATTATTATAAAAATTCTACTAAATCAATCAAACCTTTAAAAATCAATCATTTTTATTCAAAACTGGGCATTGACTGTATATGTAACTGAAGCTAAGAGATTAGCTTTCTAATTCGTTAAGTGTTCTGTTGCAAATCCGTTCTTGATTTGAAGCTGAGCAGTGACTGTTAGCGCGAGTGAAGTTAAGAGATTTGCTTTTCAGTTCGCTCAGTGTTCTGGTGCTTACCAATTTCTTCAATATTTTGATACAAGTCCGTTCACTGGAAAATGGTTAAATGCACTAAATAGAAACTAGCTATCAATAGTTTCAATAAATGCTAACAACTGTTTCTTTTATATATTAAATAACTTAAAGGTGCAGTCTCACTTTATGTAGTATATATTTAAGGAGTGTGTGTTGTAAAGACTAAAGACTAATTAAGGCAAGAGAACTCATGACAGCACTTAAACTGGCAGATGAGTATTAGTACTACTTAAGTTTGAAATTATACAAGGGACTATAATAATAATAATGAAAATATATCTTATTGTATTATTATGTTTTGTAATGTATGTGGTGATTACCAGCTCAATGAACCAATAACATATAAGTAACAACGAACATTTTCAGATGATAATTTAATAACTGACCCTGAATCTAAATCCTATACATAATTGCCTACCAAAACAGGAAAAAATGATTGTCTAATAAAATTTTGTTATTATATAAGCATTTCCTAAAGAAGAAATTATGTAAGTTTAGACAAATCAAAAAATTTAAATAACAAAAATGCATTGTCCAAATCTCAACTACTATTTTATTGACACTCCTAAAAAGGGTTTCGACTGTAAAAGGTACGTGCAACATTAATGTAACCCCAATTTTATGTTAACATTGCTCAAGAGTCACGATTTTCCTCAGACACATAAACACAGTTCCGTTTACAGTGTTAGCAAGTTGTTAAACTTAATAATATTGGTCAATGGGTAAAAAGTTTAAAAAATTAGGTGTAAATGAAAGTGAAATTAATACCGATAGCAATTGCAGACGAACGGAACTAAGCACCAATATAAATACATACGGAAAAAATTAATAATTCATTAGCAAAACTATACTTGCATTGACAAGAAGGTCTTTGGATTAGCGGGAACTTAATCAACAAAAAATAATATAAAATGTTGCGGTTAAAGTTGGTGAGTACAGATACTGTGAACTAAGAAGATTTCAAGAACTAAAATTAAGATTTTTTGTTTAATTAGATTTTTACATTGTTGGCACTAACTGCTTTTAGTGTACAAGCAAAACCATCACATCCATATTCATATGATTCGCATGCAATACCGGATCACTTCGATTTCGCACCACCTGTTCTACCACCAGCACATTTCCACACAGCAGAACCAGCATCATTTTTCCCAGTACCAGCACCTTTACTACCGGCACCAGCTCCTTTACTACCTGCACCAGCACCTTTGCTGCCAGCACCAGCACCTTTACTACCTGCACCAGCTCCCTTACTACCAGCACCAACACCATTACTACCAGCTCCATTATTACATGCACATGCTCCACTTTTCCCTGCCGCAGCTCCAGTATTTCAAGCACCTTTGGTAACAGCTCCAGCTCCTATCTTCCATGCACCTTTAGTACCAGCTCCTGCCCCAGTCATACATACAGCTGCAACACTTTTGCCTGCACCTGAGCCACTCTGGCCAGTGGAAGCTCCAGTTGTTCATTCGCATGTTTTGCCAGCTGCAACACCTGTTCTTCCAGCTCCTTTACCTATAGCGAAAGTATTACCTCCAGTTTATGAAGCTATACCATTTGCAGTTCCCAGTTATCGTGCCACATTTGGTCCTAAAAAAACAACTCATCACGTTTCTGTGGGTTATGCATTCCCTCAACCCGCTATCGCTAAAATCGTAGCACCGCATGCACACTTAATAGCAAAACATCACCATCATTCGCTCTTCTAAGAAAAGTCATATATTATTTTTAATAGTATTAAGAAGAAGAAGAAGAAATTATTACGATGCAAATGACCAAAGTTTTATAATCTTAAGCATTTTTATATATTATTATTTATTTATAATTAAAATCATTATTATATATGTAAATAATGTATTTATCGATCTAATCATTGAATATACGAAAATAATAAAAGAGTAATTAGTTTTTTGTCTATTTATTTATATTGTAGGTGTTCCCTCTAAGGAAAAGCCTATAAAACATGTATATTTATAAAGATTTATTATTTAAAATTCTAAAATAGAAAAATGAAAATTCTAATAGAAATTTTAAATCCTTGTTAACATAGAGTTATTTAAAATTACTGCTGTTAAGTTCGATTATAAAAATTCTACCCAAAACCAAAATATAGTAAAAAATTTGAACAAGTTAAGAAGTGAAGAGACCATTAGACAAACAGAGAAGCACGTTCAGGAAAATTTGGAGATAAAAAATCATCGATAGAAAATTAGAAACCTCGTTGATAATGCAAGCATGTAATTTGGATTAGTATATATCAATTTTAAAGTTGAATCGAGATTGAAAAGATTAAAATCTCATTATAATAAATAATATAATGAATGAATAGATTATAATGAATAATCTACACTGTGTTGCGGTGATGAATAATAATGGCAGAAAATCAAAGATTTGGTGCTTAAAAATCGTCGATAAAGCTCTCTGAAAATGTTAACATTTATTTTAAATCTGTTTCAAGATTTATGTTCCCTTTTGGTGTCAAAAGAATATCATTTCTTGGAAGAACAGCGTTGTGTTGAAATATGTTAATCCGTGCAATCCGTAATTGTCAAGATAAAACGTAACACTTGATAACTGTATACGAGACTTGAATACATCCTTGTAATCCGAAAACAACCCCAATCAATTAATCACACAAAAGCTTTTCAAAAATTCATCTCCGCTGTTAACACCTTTCTTTGATTATAGTGGTGGTGTTCTGAATTTAACCGATATGCGGTTAATGTGAAGTTATGTTTATATAAACACAGAATTTATCGGCAGCCATTTCTAATATTTGTACCACGGTGAAGCACCATTCCACATAGCAGTGGGTGTTCAAAACTATTCCCCCAAAAATTCAATTTATATCGTTTTAAAACCATTGTATTCGCCTGATTTAGTATTGTTTGACTTCTGACTACTCTTTAAGCTTAATAGACTTTTCCTGGAACACAGTTACGGCACTAAGAAGAAGATAAAAACGAAATAGCTGCGCAGTTTAAAGACTATACTCAAAATCGACTTTGACAGGACTGTGAACAAACGTTTGACATAGATATATTCTAGCGGAAAGAGCAATACAACCATGTCAAAAAAATTTACTTCAAGGATAAAATATAAGATATAAAAGATATGAAAACATATACCTATATTTGAATTTAATTTTTTGATAAAAAATAATATATATGAATATAATTTTAAACATGATATATACTATTGTATAAATAAAAAAAAACATCAGTTTTTATACGAGTGTGTATAAATGAATTTGAAATATTGGAAATAGTTTGTTCTTAAAATAATTTTCAGAAAGAAAGAAATTTTATGATTATATATCTTTGATTTAGAAATCAATATTTTTAATTTAAAAAAATTTTTCCAAAAAAATTAAGATGGCTGCTAAAACTAAATTCAAGTGATAGATATGTGCGGAGCATGTTGTGGAAAACAGAAAAAATTTAAAAAGGAGTGTTTAGAAGAGCACAATAGATTACGAGAAATGCATGATTGTCCACCATTAAAACTGGATGCCAAACTGTCCAAGTATGCTCGAAACTGGGCTAAGGTAAATCATATAAAACTTATAAATATTAGTTAAAAATATTTTTTATTTAATCTAACAGAGCTTATCAAAAGGCGATAATCTGCAATATCGAATTCCCAAGCTGCATGGTGAAAATATTTACTATACCAGATACAAAAATGTACCGGGAACGGAACCCGTCAGATTTTGGTACAATGAAATCGTTAATTATGACTATGGCATTCAAAAATTTCAATGCGGTACTCAAGGTTTCACACAAGTCTTATGGAAAAATAGCTGTTTACTCGGAATAGGTATTGCAAAAAAGTAAGGGTTCGTATATCATTTATTTTAGATTAAGATTAAGATTAATATATGTATAAATAATTGTGTCATGTATATACTAAGTCCATAAGCTAAATTATCATAATTTTTGACATATCGCAAAAGTTGCTGAGATTGGATTAAGTAGTAGACAGAAGATTTAACTTCAAATTATTATTATATAAGAAGTATGTGAGGTATTAACAATTTTTAAAACTACATAAAAATATATAAGAATCAATTTCTCAATTAACTATAATTACTTAATGCCACATTACAATTAAGTAAAAAAGCCTATCATCTATGTCATCACTAGGTGTTTAATAAGAAATCTTAGACAACGATGTGCTTTAAATATTTAATTACAATAGTCTTCACATATATCTTTTCTTGCTATTAATTATCTATAAATATAAAAGTCTTATTTAAAATAAATTACTAATACATTTTAGGAAAGAACAGATATGGGTTGTTTGTAACTACAGTCCGACGGGAAACATTCCAGGACAATATGCAGCAAATGTTCCAACGAGAAGCTGCGATGACGATGATTAATTTCTTAAAAGAGGGTTTTGATTGAACAATAGAAATCATATGTTTTGGAAATAGTATGTTAGTCACACAATTGTTAGACGAAATAAATAATATTTATTATAATTTGATAAAAAAAAATTAATATATAACTGTTTTATTTTACACAACCACATAAAAGGTAATCTTCATATAATCACTTCAATTTCTTCCCTATAACTCTATCTGTATTATATAAATTAATATTATGTCAAATATTTTTTCGAAAGCTTTACTGTTAGAGTATAGAGCATACGTAAGTCCTTATACAGACAGAGCTACACTACACAAAACTTGTATGAAAAAGCGATGGAGCAATTATTCCAATCAAAATACAGATTATGGAGCAAAGACCTAATGACTAGTTCTATTTCAAATTTGGTAAAAGTAGTATAAGAAAGTAAGCA